CAACACGTAATTATAATAAATTAGAAAATAGAATAAAAAATTATTTTCAATTGTTCATGAACTCATTGTTTACTGAAGGCTTATAAATATTTATGTATTCACCAGCATATTTAGACATCCTGCTTTTCTGATTGGCCTTTATAGAGACTGATCAATCAGAGCACCATTAGTTTGAGTAAGTGAGTTGCTAAGGTTACTAGCCCAATGTGGCATTTTGCTTGCACCAGGCAACTGGACAATCCTTATTGTTGTGCCCTGCATTATCAGGTATTCAACTGAAAGGGGAAATACATGTAGAAAAATGTTCTACTTTCAACAAAGCCAATTTCTCAGATAAATGAGAGCAGAAATTTTGTCTGTTAAAAGCACACAAAAATGTTTTTACACATGTAATCAGTATACATTTTTTCCAATACACTGCAACCATAATGCAAGGCAGGTGCCTAATCTGTCTCCACTTGGTTTCTGTTTCTCCAGATCCTCAGTCCCTAAATTACTCCAAACTGCACTGTTCTGGTCAGTGTGTTGACCTCTCAAAACCTGTGCCTGCTACAGTGCCTTTTCTTTTCATAGTTTTCAACTCCTAGAGCAGAGGCCGAGACTGTTGCTACAGATCGCGTGCTCTCTCTGTATAGTTTAATTGGTTAACGTGGGCACTGAAAAGAAGCGGCCTCCTGTGTGTCCTTGCCTACTGGCTACAAAAATATAAATGAAAGGTTTGGATATTGTACCCTTACTCAGTAGTGTGTTAAGATTTTAAAATAGTAAAGCAGTAGAGAAAATTACATGCTTGAAGAAATACAAAAAACAAGTAACCCGAAAAATGACTTAATTGTAGTTGTAATTAATTACTTCCACCCCTGCAAGTTTCAATATAAATTTCAGGACTTTTCAATATGCTTCGGTATAGTACTACATAAAACATAACGAAAATAATTATTAATTTATAAATAAATTACATTTAAACAAGTAACAATATTAACACACTCCGTAAACTAGAGCCCGACTAATATATCGGTCAGTCATTATTATCAGCCAATACTGATGTATTACACACATATTGGTATCATATTGGTGTATTTGTCATCCGATATTCGCAGATAAGTAAACAGTTTCCTGTATGTAAAGTGCGTTGAGATTTACGATACTGTGGCAAGCAGCACAGATAGAATGAGCAGCTGTCAGTAATTTCCAATAGGACTGGCTGACAATGTATTTGTGAAATTATGTAACATGTTCAAGTATATTTTCCTTAATTTTAACTTCCTAATATTCTTATTTGTTTAAGATAGCAGCCGAGTGTGAGTATCACCATCTGTGTCAGAAACCACACATCGGATGGGCGCTACTTTGAACCGTTCTAGTTGAAATATTATAAAAAATCAGCAAAACTTAATAAAGTGTACTTTTCAGATATATATTTCAATTAATTAAAATACAGTTTCATAAGTAAAAAATAACTTTTAAACATAGACTCATTTTCACAAGTTTATATATTAGATTTCTATACATTTATAACACACCTCATATGCTTAAAAAATGCTCTTAATATATAAGAAAACATACAAATCTTCCACATAGGTGATTCCGCCATATAGAAGGCAGATTTGGCATCAACCAGGCCATAGTTTGCATTAAGTTGATCTTTGCAGATCTCCGTTGATCCATTAAATTGTTTTATGTGAATTAAATTGTACTTCAGTCCTCGCCACTTTCTTGTCAGATTTTTTGCAAAAGTAAAATGCCATCACCCAGAATGCCACATCTGAGAAATGCAAAAAAGATGAAAGATTTTGTGAGGCTTTTCTCACACCACTGATCTACAATTATAAACCCTATCCAACACCTTTTCAGATATCAATCATCTACTCTAAGCTTGAAAGGTTTCTGTAAACAGTTGTGTCCTCAATGAAGCATGGTAGCTGGGGTCAGCTGGAATTTCTGTGAGTTAAAACTAAAACCAATACAAACTGATCATAGAAGTTCAGAAGTTGTTGTTTGTTCCAGACACAGACACTATTAATGGTCAAACACACTTCCATCTAAGTCTACACAATGTGAGCAGGTGTGTTTACATATGTTAGAGCGCCTTACAGAGCATATGGATGCGGAGCAGAGCAGTGGATTATGCTGCAGGAGCGGTTTCACAAATGTCTATGGATATTCAAATATGTTTTTAAAATGTGAAAACCACTGCCACTGTTAGAATCACCTACAACTTACATGAATTCTAGCTGACCATAACAAACTTTACAGGTACTTTCAGGCTTACGGAGGCAGAGGAATTGATACTCAAAAGATAGATTAATGGCTGTATCTGGAGAGCTGCCTTGCCAGAAACATGTCGCCTTTACATATACATTTTGTTATGCCACTATCTCAGAACTGTCTGTATTTCTTCCTTACTTAACTGTATATGCCCAGGATTAAATCTGGGCTGTGTGTAATCAATAAAACATTACTGAACTAATCTTATTGAAGTGATGTTGAAATAAATTGACAGGTTCTGTTTGGACAAAACCTCACTTTTAAATTTGTCTGATAAAACACATTGCTCAACAGATCAAGATCAAGAAAACCACCAATCCATGATATTCTACAATCAGCACTGCTTGTGCTTCAAAGTCTATTTTACTTAAATCTACACATAACCCTCCCTGTTAAGTCACACAGCCAATAGTACTAGAGGCTAGGCAAGATTAATTTTCCTGCACTGTGCTTGTACACTGGTAATGTTAAAGTTCTGTACAGTGAGTGGTGCTGTGTGGAGGCTACAAGGTCATTTGCTCACATGCACAATGAAGCACAAACACAAGCTCATGTAAGCACATTTACCAGCACAAAAATGCTGAAACTCAAGGCCAAATCCAATCACTAACAGACAATTGCGCCCTGACTTGCACATTCTCAGAACACAAACGCACACACACAACAACACAAATTCATCTATACAGAAGCATGTAAGCATGTCTTTAAGGTTTCACAAGGCCACTAAATGTCCACCCACACTTGTGACATCCTCCTACACAGTGTTAGACCCTCCAATGTACACAACAAGAGTCACTCATTAACAAACTATATTGTGAATGAACGCATATATGAAATTACACTTAATTGTGCAACAAGTTACACACACTTGGGCACAAACACATCTGCATATACACACAAAAAATCTGCATACAGATCAGTAAAGCAGTAAAGTCAGAGGCAAATGAATGTAATATACAGAGATTTCAACACTGTAAAATATATATCAAACATAAAGAGACCTATCTGATACAATTGTGAAAAGCAAATATTTGTTGTTTTACAAATGCATGTGTGCATGTACACACATACAACATGTTGACCCCACCCCTAAAGGTAAAAAACAAAATCATACAAGGACTGCATTCACACAGCGCTTTTATTCCTTACTGCTGCACGACAAATGCATTATTATTATTATGATTATGATTATTATTATTATTATCAGTGTGTCTGCTATAGGACCAAGTCTGTCAGATATCTAGCGGTACAGGCACTGTCTACTCTTTGAGTAATTGTTTCACTCCTCTCTAAAAGAGCACATAAAGAATAAAAGTTAATTTAAAATTCTCATTACTCACTGTAGTAAGCCCATCTTCTGATGTTGATATTGCAGTTCCACTACAGTTACAGACATAGTTATTATCACAGGAAGGGAAACCATGGTTTTGTAAAACCTTGTAGAATCATAGTTTTAGTTTTCAATGCAAATGTTTGACTCTGATAAAGCAGGCACATGTCATCTTGTGACTTGTCATCTCAAGTTTTACCTTAGATTTCAGAAAAGACAAACTCGGCATTATCACTAAGCCAAAGTTATTTTTTGGCTGGTCAGCATCATTGGGTCAGCACATGAATGTAAACTCCACCATGGATGGTGTTTGGCAATATGGTCTAAATCTTAAATTCATGCCAATGTGATCACCAGATATACTATGACACAATACATAAATAAGCATAACCAAATGTCTTCATATTTTTTATAATAATCGGAAATAACTATGTACAAAAGGTAAGGTCACTCTAAGCTCACTGTTAAGTGTTACAATGACATACCTGCGCTGCAGGAATACAGCCCATAGGCCTTGATTTTTTGCTGGTCTTCAGAATTTAAAATATGTTATTTGGAATTGGAGTGGAAGGTAAAAACCATTCTGAGGAGGAAATACATGCCGCTTATATGCAGGAATATGTTAATCCAGTAACTAAATCCAAGTTCTATCACAGCTTAAAGCTCGACTGTCAGTGAAGCATGTCTAAAGTCTGTGTACGTAGCATCTGATGTGAATATAGACATTTTGGTCCTTCTGTACCTTTAGTACAGGTCCACGCGCCTCTACTCTAGCGCAAGGTGTGGAGTGGTTGTTCAGAAGCGAGCGGAAAGTCATTCCACTGATAAACAGTGACCAGATACGGTTATCAGATCCACCTGTATGCCTGTTTCCAGAGACGCACTACCCGCCCATCTTTTTCCCAGGAAGCTTAAAAGCCGCGGGACATGCCTTAGTGCGGTCTGTCTGAACCCAAGTAACTTCTCCACGCAGCGTAAAATACGCGAATGCAGATACTCTTTGTTTCATCTTCTGTATCTTTATCGTGCATCTGCTGCAGAGATTAGCTACCAGGGCTTTTTTCTTTTATCAGAACCCGCGATCAGTGCGAGCATCTGATTAAAAGAAACACATAGGAACCACATCTATGCAGCACTGGGTGTTTAAATCCTGCGCAAAGTTCAAAGCAAATGTTCCCCACCGTAGGATTGGCTGACTCGCACTCGAACGGTCCCGGACTGACAATTTTTCACTGCACTCTGTCGCCTAATAAATCTAAGACTGCATCACATTTACCCACCAGAAAGGAATATGTTATATTTGACCTACCTTGACGACTTGGATAATTCAGCGGTTGCGCACAAATCTTCAGCTGCTGGAAGTTTGACTTAGTCTACTCCTGATCCCTCGGAGGAGTCGCACTGAGAGAGAGGATGGGCGCCACTGCTCTGCGCGCCAGCTCTGTGGATATGTGTGTGTGTATGTGTGTGTGAGAGAGAGAGCGCGTGCATGTCAGAGTGAGAGAGAGAGAGAGATGGGGATGGAAACAACAGACGTGGAGAGCTGTAGCCCCTTGCCAAAGGATGCTTCAGTCTCCTAGCAACAACAATCGATCTGGCAAGGAGACATTTTTATTGGATAAAAAGAAAACTTAGCCATTCACCCCCCTTAGCACATGTTTACCACTCATAACAACAACTCGGGCTTTACTGAGTGAAGAGAGAGAGAGAGAG